ACAACATCTCGGTCATTCTACCCCGGTGATCATTTCACTAGGAACGACACATAGTCATTCTACCCCAGTGATTACTCCACTAGGAACGACATCTTAGTCATTCTACCCCAGTGTATACGACCATGTCACTCTACCTCACTAGGAACAACATCTTGTTATTCTACCCCAGTGAGTACGAGTCTTACACATATACATATTTTCAATATCATCATCACATTTACCACAATTCAATCATATATATATATATATATATATATATATATATATATATATATATATATATATATATATATATATATATATATATATATATATATATATATATATATATATATATATATATATATATATATATATATATATATATATATATATATATATATATATATATATATATATATATATATATATATATATATATATATATATATATATATCACGACAAATATATATAATTCACCATTCATTCAGATACATCACATGGTATATTTATTCACAATAAACATATTCATCACTCCACATAAATATTTACAATTATGTTTATTTACCAATACACTATTCATACTCATTTCATATAAACGATTACATTTATGTTTATTCACCAATGCATCATACAAGGATGATATATGCAAATCATAGAGGCCAACTCGCTACTCTATGCAAATGCAAATGCGGTACCGACTCAACCATCTCAAGTTCACTCAGGAACTTATTAGAACCATCGCTCACACCTCTCATAGGCACACGATATTCATGGATTGCTCACACCCCACACGGGCACATAATTGTTCAGCAGATTCTCCTAGGAATCAAATATTATTCAGCAGATTCTCCTAGGAATCAATTCAGCAGATTCTCCGAGAAATCAAATATTATTCAGCAGATTCTCCTAGGAATCAATTCAGCAGATTCTCCGAGGAATCAAATATTATTCAGCAGATTCTCCGAGGAATCAATTATTATTCAGCAGATTCTCCTAGGAATCAATTCAACACAAGAATGTATATCATGATGCTTCACATGCAAAATGACTCCATACACTTCTTGAAATGCATATATATTCATAATGTTTTCATGCATTTATCTCATCTAATCTCATACAATCATCATACATTCACAATGCATATTCCATATTATGCTCATCATTTATATCATATTATCACATACAATCCATATGCATTCACATCAATTATGCCAAACGACAACCGAACGTTCTAATTATTTAAGCCTCACTACTTAAAATAATTAATCTCTATTAATCGGTAAAATCGGCTAAAAGTCGGCTAAAAATAATATTTATTTTCACCAAGTTATAGAACATATTATTAGCTTCAGTTTGATATAAAGAACGACAAAATCCAATAAACGGTGAAGAAGTTATGAATTTTCAAAGTTTCGAAAAAAATAATATTTTCTCACACTTACAGCGCTAACGGGTTAACGGCTCCAAAAACTCAGTTTTTGGCCATTTTTAATACCGTTAATCGGTTAATCCATAGCGTTAACCGGTTAACACCTGAAAATTTTGGGAAAACAGCTACGGGTTTGTGCCAAAAAACCCCCAAAAACCCGATCGATTTAATTATTTTCTCCCGATTAAATACCTACTCATTATTACCAATCATATAGTAACAATTTAGGACCATAAAATGCAAATTCTACGACTTCCGATTTTCATCCAAAATCTTAACCTCCAATTATCCAAAAATGTCAAAACTCATAAATTCAACCAAATTCAATAATCACGGCTATACATTACCCGACTAAACTACGCAATTTATTTCGAGTTTCATCCGTTCAAACATCAGTTTCTATCGATTAAACCATTTCTGACCTAGAATGGAAAATGGGGGAAAAACATCCAAACAATCCAAACAACACATACATAATCATACACATTGAGAAGATAATAAAATTTCACACCCTTACCCGGTTAATCGAATCCTAGAGGTTGTTCTTGATGATTCTCTAAGTTTTCCTCTTTTCTCCTCTTCTCTCTTCTTCCTCTTTCTTTCTCTTCCTTTTCTCTTCTTTCTATTTTCCTTCTTTTTCTCTCCTCTTATATTTTTATATCTCTTTCTATTCTCATTCTTTCCATCATTTATCTCTCAAAACATCCATTAATTCATTTCTCACAAAATATCCAATCTTATCATTAAATAAGAAATGTCTAAAATACCCTCCAATCTATTTTTCCCGAAAACTCTCAAAATCGGTAAAATAGCATAATATGCAAACATAACATATTAATACATCAATTCCACAAATGAAATAATAATCTCCCAATAAAATAAAAGACTCCACAAAATAATGGAAAATCAGAATCAGGGCGTTACACATATGATAAGGTTTGACGATTTGTTTGCGTTAATCATGTAACATATAATCATGCAAGCATGACTTGGTCCAAGATACAAATGAATCATAATGGCATTTATGTATGGTTACTATAAACATGTAAAATGTAACATATAACAGCTACATTTGATACTTTGGGAAGTAAACACATATCATAAGCATCACACATAGTCATCACATCTTCTTATGAAATGAATAGGTAAAAGAAACACTTACGTACATAGTAAGAAATAGGATTGAAACGATATTACCTCACCACACACAAGACGGAGGATGCACAAGCATTCCATGAAGAACTTTCGAACAAAAGTTGAAATGAATGCAACATGTGCCACAACACACAAATAAGACCAAAACATTCTTACCACTTTCCTTCTTGCACAAGTATTTAAAAGTGAGATTATTAATGTATCCAAGAGCATCATTTGATGATTATTTGATGTACTTGAGCAAGTCTAGTCAAAGATAACCTGCATAGTTGAATATAGCATCCTTCCGACACTTCTTAAATATATTATTAGTAATAATTCACACACTTTTACCACTAAAAAATTATAAAGAGTTAACCTGGTTGGTAACAAAACCTGTCTTGTTAGTCACATAAATTAAAATAATAAGGACATGTTATCGTGTTGTGCCTTGCTGCTCTACGAACAAGATCTCATACTCTCTTCATATAGTCAAGACATTTTTCCTACACGATTAACAACTTGTGCTAGGTACCCAATCTTCATTGGGTCCTTGAAGATTAGTAAAACCTTGATTGCATTTAGGGATTCATTTAAAGAAATCATTGTAAATATGGAGTTTCCTAACTTTGCACTTTGCAATAGTGTGCCCTTTCTTACAACAGTAATGACAATATAAGTTTAGAGAAGATAACCTTTTGCTATTTGGTTATTTTTTAACGTGACTATACCTTCGATACGGATTGTGAGCTAGTAAGTCATACTTTGAAGTATCTATAGCAAGAGTAACCTTTTGTTGCAAAGCCTTATCAAGCTTAGCTTTAAGATTCCTTGACTCCTTTTGCCAAATGTGACATGTTTCAAAACCAAAATTCCACAAAGATTTAGGGTCCTCATCTTGTCCTTGTAGAATATTTGACATAAATTTCCTTAGTGCTTCCACATGTCTTTCATTTTCAGCAATCTTGGCTTCCAGATGAGAAATGATTCTCTTGTTTAAAGCTAATCTATTGAAGGAATGTATGGATTATCTTTGTAGATTCTCGAAGGATTCTTGAAGTTGAGAAAAAGTTAAGTCATGAGAAGCTTGAAGTTTAGAGTGAATTACAACATTTTTCTTTCCTTTGTTTACCATTTAAGCTTTTCTACAAACAGTTTGATTTCATTCATTTGATGGAGAATGGACAATAAATATGAGGGAGTTGCTATAGGAATTGACCTTGGCACCACTTACTCATGTGTTGGAGTGTGGCAAGAATAAGACAATCGTGTTGAAATCATTCACAATGGTCAAGGAAACAAAACAACACCTTCTTGTGTTGCTTTCACTAATTCTCAAAGATTGATCGATGATGTTGCCAAAAATCAAGCTTCTTCCAACCCAACCAACATTGTCTTTGGTAATTCATTTATCATTGAAATCATTCACAATGATCAAGGAAACAGAACAAGCTGAGAAGTAGTAGTATAATTTGGTTAAGTATGAGAATATTGATAATTATGAGGAAAAGAGAGTGCAACGCATACGAAGTGGTCTACAGTCTAAGACTCCATGGCAGGAGTCGTAGAACTAGAACTTCCAAGGATCTCTACTAGAAGGAGTTGAACCTTTCAGATGGCCTGTGTAGAAAGGGAGTCAGTCAGAAGGGGTAACAGTTAAAGATACAAGACTAGATGGTCGAAATGTTATACTTTCAGAAACCAAGTCAATTGGCGAGGAATTGTTCTCAGTGGAAAAAATACAAGAGGCCCCTGTGAGAGAATCCCGTGAAGACACTGAGTTCCAAATTAGTTATAATTCCTTATCCAATGGTTGTTAACAGTTGCGAATGAAAAGTTATCAAGTGTTTAAAGCAGAAAGATTGGACTGCCATATACTTTAGTGCAAAATAAAATAGATAATACGAACATGTATATAATTATAAGATCTACGATATATTAGTATATGAAAGAAGAGATTGCAAGAATACTTGATCTATTGAGAAAATTTTCGTTGATAGTAATCATGAAAGTTAAAAGACAAACAACCAACGTATGATGTCTTGTATGATTCTTTTTCAACAACTACTCCTAGTACCTAGAAATAAACTACATGAAAAATATATTAAATGTGTTAAAAAAAACTAAATAATTGATGAAAAAACTAATAAAATTGATTAATATATTAATTACAAATGGACGTTGATAGGATAGTTGACTTCTAAATTTATAAATATCAAAAACCTTTTTTAATTTAAAAAATATATATATCTAAAACGAGAACGGACAAGGAAGAAACTTTATTCCGTATTTTTTTAGTTTTGCGCGCTTAGCCGGTTACTCCCACTTGAATTTGTATATTCTTCCTACCCAATTTCCTTACGCATAAAACGTGAACGGACATGGAAGAAACTTTAACCTTGCCACCACTTAATCTTTTCTACAAACAGTTTGATTTCATTCATTTGATAGAGAATGGCCAATAAATATGAGGGAGTTGCTATAGGAATTGACCTTGGCACCACCTACTCATGTGTTGGAGTGTGGCAAGAACTAAAAGATCGTGTTGAAATCATTCACAATGATCAAGGAAACCGAACCACACCTTCTTGTGTTGCTTTCACTAATTCTCAAAGATTGATCGGTGGTGCTGCCAAAGATCAAGCTTCTTCCAACCCAACCAACACTGTCTTTGGTAACTCTTTTATTATGTTGCTAAAAATCAAGCTTCTTGTGTTTACTTTTTAGTAGTTATTAGGGTTTACTGTTATTACGTTAAATATATCTGCAACACTTTAACTTTTTCAGATGCTAAGAGGTTGATTGGAAGGAAATATAGCGATTCTGTTGTTCAGAATGATATTCTATTGTGGCCATTTAAGGTCGTTTCCGGTGATAATGACAAGCCTACGATCCTCGTGAGTTACCAGGGTAAGGAAAAACACCTTGTTCCCGAGGAAATATCAGCCATGATTCTCACACAGATGCGAGAGATTGCAGGGGCTTTTTTGGAGTCACCTGTTAAGAATGCGGTGATCACTGTACCTGCTTATTTTAACGACTCGCAGCGGAGAGCCACCAAAGACGCGGGTGAAATTGCTGGTCTCAATGTAATGCATATAATCAATGAGCCAACTGCAGCGGCTCTTGCATATGGTCTTCAAAAAAGGGCTGATTGTGTTGGGGAGTCAACTATTTTCGTCTTTGATCTTGGTGGTGGAACTTTTGATGTGTCTCTCCTTACAATTAAGAATAATGTCTTTGAAGTTAAGGCCACTGGTGGTGACACTCATCTTGGAGGAGAGGACTTTGATAATCGAATGCTGAATCACTTTGTGAAGGAGTTTAATAGGAAGAATAAAGTTGACATGCGTGGGGACTCTAAAGCTCTGAGGAGATTGAGAACTGTCTGTGAGAGGGCAAAAAGGACTCTTTCATACGATACTGTGGCTACAATTGAGATAGATGCTTTATATGACAGAATTGACTTCCGTTCATCAATTACTCGCGCCAGGTTTGAGGAATTGAATTCGGATCTGTTTAAAAAGTGTGAGCAGATTGTTGAAAGCTGTCTTGTTGATGCTAAGACAGACAAGAGTAGTGTTAATGACATTGTTCTGGTTGGTGGCTCTTCTAGGATTCCCAAAGTGAAACAGTTGTTGCAGGACATTTTCAAGGGAAAGGAATTATGCAAGAGCATCAACCCTGATGAGGCTGTTGCTTATGGTGCAGCTGTCCAAGCTGCTTTGCTATGTGAAGGTTTTAAGAATGTTCCAAACTTGGTGCTTAGAGATGTTACACCTTTGTCACTAGGTACGACAATAAAAGGAGATATCATGGATGTTGTGATTGGTAGGAACACTTCTATTCCTGTCAAGAATACCAAACCTTATGTTACTACTGAAGATAACCAACTCTCCCTCTTAATTGATGTTTATGAGGGTGAGAGAATCAAAGCCACTGAGAATAATTTGCTGGGTTTTTTTACACTCTCAGTTCCTCCTGCTCCTCGAGGCCATATTTCTATCAATGTATGCTTTGCTATAGATGCTGATGGTATGTTAAACGTGTCGGCAGAGGAAGAAACAAGTGGCAATAAGCAAGATGTTACAATAACCAATGAAAATGGAAGACTGTCAAGGGAAGAAATTGAGAGAATGATTCAAGAGGCTGAGTTTTTTAAGGCTCAAGACATGAAGTTCAAAAAGAAAGCTAAAGCCATAAATGCTTTGGACGATTATCTCTACTCCGTGGGGAAAGCAATGAAGGATGATTGTGTAAGTTCCAAGCTCAACCCTGTTGACAAAGTGAAGATCAATTCTGCAATGATAAAGGGAAAGAGCATGCTTGAAGACAGCAAGCAGGAAGATACGTTTGTGTTTGTGGATTGTTTGAAGGAGCTTGAGAGCGTCTTTGAATCTGCTATGAACAAGGTCAACAAAAGTTACTCTGATGAGGAAAATGATTCAGATTCCTAATGATCATTTTTGTTGTTCGATTTGCTCTCTCGTGTATGATGTTGGAGCTTAATGTTCTGCTTCTGAGATGGCAGAATTTGATTGAATATGTCAATGTTTGGTACTTATTTTTTTTCAATCTTGTTCTTGTTTGAGTTAAGTAGACTTGAAGTTTTTTATTGAAATAAACAAAAATCTGTGACATAACTAGTATTGTAATTTTAATTACCTTTTGAATTTGCATATCATATCTAATAATTCTTGTAGTTCAAACTCTTCTATAACTTTAGCATTCAAAGTTACTGCTGAAACTAAAACAACTAAATGCAGCATTTTAGGGTAAGCTTGATCTTAGTATTTGCTAGGTAGAGTAGAAAAAGAATAAGGTTTGATAGAAATGGAGCATCTTCAAAACTCTGCTCATAATTTGTATCAGAAAAATAAGATAAATATGGACTCTGATGTTGGGATTCAAGAATAACTTTCATGCAGGAACATTCACGCGGCAAACTGGAATTTAGGATGAAGCATTGACCCATAATGAATGGTTCCATGACTAAAACTTGTCACTTTAGTTATTAAATATTTGTTTTCAACTTAGTCATTTAATTAATGTTAAATATTTAAAGTATTATATTTTACTCCATATCTATAATTGTGGAAAACACATCAATAACAATAAATTTAGTTTTATTAAAAATATCATGTGTTTTTTTAGTGTGTATAAAAACTTAAATATATATCATGTATATTTACTTTTGATGTTTAAAGCTTCTAAAAGAATCATTTCCGCTTCGTATAAATTAGAATTTTTTACCTAAATATCTTACATTTAAAAAAAATCTTAAATAATCCAAGATTATTTTTCAAAATACTCCTCTACTTTAGAGATAAAATTAAGTATCAATTGGAGATACCATATGATATCTCCAATTCAATTGGCAACAATATGTTAAATTTGGAAGATGTCGCTAATTGGTTTGAGGACAGTGTGTGTTGTGTAATTTTACTATAAATAGAGGTGGTGTGATCCATTGTTTTCACATCTATTCTCATATTCTTATATTAGTGATAACATGTATATTCTCCGCTACGAAAAAGTGATTTATTCGAGAGACAAGCCTCGAATGGAGATGCTCTTCTGGAGCATCCAAAGTTTCAAGCAGCTACAGAGGGATTTGAATCGTTGGTTAGACGGAGACATACCTGAAGGCGAAAAAATTAGAAGTATTGAGAGACACGATGCTCTGTGTGGGTGTGTGCGAGTTAAGACTAACAAGGATACGAGGGAAGTGATGTTTGGACCAAATGATATTAGTTTGATTGTTGTAATTAGTTAGAAATGTTGTGGTTAAATGTTGTGGTTAAATATTTTTATCTGTTTTGATTTATAATATATGTGTTGTTTATTTAGAGGTATTGTTGTTCGTTTTGTGATATCTAGTTTTTTGTTGGAAAATGTTGTTGTTTTTAAGTGTGTTTAAGTCGGGGTGATGTTTGTTGTTAACATCATTGTAACAAAAGGTTTTTAATATATCAAAATATAAGGTTACAACAATTAAATGCACTTGCCAATTCAGTTGGCAACATAGTGCAATGTTTCCTGCACTGTTGTCAGTCAAAACAGTGTTACCCTTGAGGCCTACGCAACTAGCCTGCGCCTATAGGGAATCTTGTCCCATGTCATATGTAGTTTTCCATGTGCCAGCCTACGTCTCATGCATGTAGCCTACGTGTGTCAGACTACATGTCTCATGCATGCAGCCTACGTGTGCCTACATGTCGCCAATTGGACTAACGAGTGTGTGAAACAATCCTACATAGTCGTCAATTGAAATGAAACTATCTTTGTTGCATGGCATAATGAAAAGCTATCATTCTTCCTCTATAAATTCAGATATAATTGGTTCTAGTTCGGTAACAGAAACAATTGTTTGGCATCTGATAGAATCGATTATTTTTCATCAACAGAAACAATGTCTTTATTGACAATGGGTGAATTGTGCTCCATGGTGCTTATGAGTGATGCAACAAAACTCCAAGTCATGTGCCTCACCTTGCACTCTTTTGTGATCAATTTGAATTTTGAAAATGTACTTTTAGAATTCCATCCATTTTGTGCTTGTACCTTGTAATTCCAGCTTATGACCATTTGGCTTTTTTTCAATTCATTCTTGTACCAGTTAATAATATCAACGGACTCAATACCATTCTCCTTATAAATACCATAACTTCTTGAATATGAATTCTCCCTCCCTTGAATAGTGATGCCATTAAGGGATACTCAAATCAAGAAAAACCACACTTGATGACATTTTCCATAATCTTGATGACTTGGTTCCACCTTTACAATCACTTTCTTGAGTTCTCCTAATATGTGAATGAGGACACACAATTTTCTTATCTCCTTTCGAAATCAAACACCCTTAAGATTTCCATGGCCTGAATTCTAAAGGATCATGGCCAAAGGCCAGATGATCACCTTAAAGACAAATCATGAAGAAACACAAAGCTTGGTATAAGAAGATGAGAGGGTAGGACAAATTTGGGGTATGACAGAAACATGCAAAGACAATCGAAGACCAAGGAAATAAACCAAAAACAGCAGCAACAACAGTGTTTCAGCTCAGTACAACGATAAAACCCAGCAACAACATAACACAATATTTAACAGCATGCATTTCAGAACAAGTGTATATGCAGTAGGTCAGATAAGGCAACATTTAACAACATGTATTCCACATAACAGTAGTGTATACATCAACAATTAAACAAATGCACGCGTATTTGCAAGGATCAAGCATAACCATGCATCGAATAAAATCAAGTAATGCTCATGAACATGCATCAACAATTAAGCATGAACAAGTTTCAACAAAATTCCACAAGTAGGTATGCCTCAATAACAACATGAATGTTCATCAACAACTGAGCATTTAAAATCGAGTACACAAACATGGACATGTACCATGAATCAAGCAAAGTAAGCATCAAGAACAAGCAAACATCAATGTGCAAAACAAATAAGACATAGATATGCATCATGAAATCAACGCGTCGCGTGGTGAAGAATTGCATTCATACTGCAAAATAAGGTGAAATAGCTCAAGAAAAATCTACAAATATGTATCATACAAAGCCATGAGGTTTAGAGATGAAAAGGAATCAAAACAAGCTTGAAAAAACAAGAAAAACACATTCAACAACAGGTGTAATCGATTAACCTCCTGGTGTTAATCGATTACACCATGAAAATCATCAAAAAACATGCACAATAGAAGTGCTAATTGATTAACACCAGGAGGTTAATCGACTAACAGTGTACCAGAATCAAAAACAGCTTTTCAAAAGCACATTCAGCAGCAAATCACTTATCCAATCATTCACATATTAAGGCATGCAATTGTACACAAAAATTACATCAAATAGCAACAATTAAACACCAATTAAATTCATCAAACATCAAGATCAACAATCAAAGCAACCAATGAATCAATTAACACTAAAACCACAAAATCTACATTGTGAAAGTTGCAAATTAAGCTAAAATGAGTTTGGATCCAAGAATCACCAACCTACAAAGTGAAGATTTGCTTTGATGAGTGTTGCAAACAGAATTTGAAAAATCAAGAAAAGAAAATCAAATATCCAATAAACTTCTAGCAAGAAACTTTGAAGAACAATACAATAAGAAGAGCTTGCTTCAAAACTGCTTCAAGAACGTGCTCCCAAACTTCATATCTAGATCCAAATCAACTTCTATTGCAGAATTTGTGTTGATGAAAGGAAATAATGAAGGTTTAGCTATAGAATTAATAAACTCCAATGAAGATTTTGAGAATCCTAATGGAAGAGCTTTGGGGAAGGTTGAAGATGAAAATGGTGACAGAAAAAGTGAGAGAGAATTGAGAGAATTAAAGTGTAAAGTGTAGAGAAATCAGAAAAGATGAGTGAATCCTCTCTTGGAATGAAGAAAATTAGTTTAAATATGGTCTAAGTATGGAATGAAAATGAGGTTTGGAGTTTTGGTTTGGATTTTTGGTTTGGAATTAGGAGTGGGAATTATTTCAATTTTGGTGGGAAAGTGAAATTAATTTGAAAATAAACTAAAATTTAGAAGCATTCTAGATCTTTCTACTGATGCAAATTGTCGTACCTCAAAAAATACGATCCTCGCGAAGGACGCAAAAAAAAGTTGTTCAAATAGATTCGCCACCGGATTTTGATTTATTCCAATGAAGAAAAACGAAAATATCGAAAAAAAACTTTTTAAGGAAAGGAAAATGGTCATCGCAACCATATTCGGGTGCAGGAGTCGGTTACGTGAGGAGAAGATATTAGCATCCCCTCACATCCGTTGTACTCAACGGGAACCTCTTAGTCTAATTAGTGATTTGGAGTGTTTAACTTATGCTTATTTGTCTTCTTCGAATAATAAAAATATTTGCAAAATAGTTAATTAGGGTTTATGAAAAAATGATTGATTTTATTTTTAAGGTGGATTATTAAGAAAAGATAGGAAGTTTTTTATTAAGGTGCTCGCCAAGGATTGAGGCCTCTGTGCCTACGTATTTTCATTTGAGGATGAGAAATCAAAACGATCGTAGTTCGGCTACGGTTTGTGGGTTGGTGTTTTTTATAGACATCAATTACTCGAATGCGAGAAAGATATCTCACACTTGATTAATTAAAAGAAAAGAGTGAAAGATTTCACTCCCTTATGTCTTTTATTGAAAAAATGTTAAAGTATATTTATATGCTTTATGGACATTTGTTTGAACACGAGAAAGAAGTCTGATATTCAAACAATTGTGGGGAAGTTTTAAAGGTTCAAAACCCCTCATTAACGTTTTATAAAAAAATTGGTATAGGCTTGTGTTTTAATTATTATATATTTTTTAGAAAAATCCTCGATGTTGATCGAGGTTTTAAATACTAACTACATGAATATCTGAAATGCTTAAGGAATGAACATAGTCATTAAGGTCGATGGTAATCACGAATGACCGACTTACATGGTATGAAAATGGCTTGATATAAATCAAGAATTAGTTTTTCAAAAGATTTTACGGTAGTATATTAAGGCCTTGGCAAAAAAACATATAAGAGTAATTGGCATGACACTTGAAGATCACACAATCAAGCAAAAGAGATAACTTATTAATTAAATTAAATGAATTTATTTAACAAAATTAATTAGTGATTTCATTAATTAAATTAAGTAAAATTATTTAAGATAATTAACAATATGCATATTTGACATTTTATTAATCAAAACAATACAAAAAACAAATAGAAAGTGAATAAAATCAACGTCAAAGAAAACCACAAAATAAAATGTTTATCCAAAAATACTCATTAAAATGACCTAATTTGAAATGAAAAAACAAAATGATTAATTAAATGAATGTGATATTTTAATTTTTTTTTTTATTTAAAAACCAAAAAGCAAAATAAAAACAAAATAAATCAAAAAAAAAGGAAAAAAAAACTAAAAAAAAAGGTGAGGCTCCATCAAAATTTCTAAATGATATACCAAACTAAATATTTTGGTTTGGTTCCATTATGAGTAAATTAAAACAATTTGGTTCAGTTTAAATAAACTTTTACTATAATTCAATTTGATACACTTAAGTATTCTCACTAAATTGAAACGTGAACAACCCTAATTAATACTTATGTAAATTATCTTCTTCCAACAATTTCCAAAAATATATAAATAAACAACTTAATAGACTTTATATGTTTACATAATATTTCTCGTGGAGTTTCCCATCACTAAACATTCTATAGCTAGAGAGATATTTATGTTATTTCAACAATTTTCGATGATATTTCATTTCTGAGGCCCCTTATAGTCTTGTTTTTGTGCTTATCATTATAAACTAGTGTAATATTGGATACATTATTGGGTGTCTTTTCTTACAAATTCATGAAAATATTTTTTAGAATTTCTAATTATATTTTATATACTTCTAACACACCATGTGAATTTTCACATATGTTTTCAAGTTTGAAGATATATTTTTGGACGCACTTTTTTCATATTCAACTAAGATTATTCTGAGTTACGCCACATATATTTGATTTGTTTTATTTCAGAGATATATTTCCGAAACGTTTTAAGGAAAATATTTTAAGTATTCAGTTCAGTGGATATTCCGGAGATATATCTCCGAAACGTTTTATGGAAAACATTTTGATTGTCCAGTTTAGTAGATATTTCGAAGATGCATCTCCGAAATTATGGACGACATTTTGAAATTTCGGTCACCTTTACATGTTAGGTGTTTCAAGATGCATTTATGGAAATATTTGATATAGCATTCAGCTGCATGATCAGTTTTCCATTGTTGTCATACTTCATTCTCAACTAAACTCTCACCCTAAAAACGCTTCATTCTCAATCCATTTTTCACTCAAAATCTTCATCCTTTTGATTCAACATATCACAGAGAGCAAAAGAAGATATAATTTCAGGTAAATATTGTTCTTTTCCCTCTACATTGCTCACATTAATCATCGATTTTTTCTGAAAAAACTTACGTTGTGTCCGGAAATGTATCTCCGAAATATGTATGAACTTGTCCAGTGATGCATTTCCGGAAAGTGTTTGTGTTTATTTTTACAGTCATTCTGCAGCAGTACTTAAACTGATGTTGTATAGTTTGCATTGTTTTCAATAGATATGATGCACCCCGATGTTTTTCCAAAACAAATTGTTTCTTCGAACCTTGTTTCTCCGAATGTTCAAGGGGTTATTGTGAAGGCAGTAGATGTTGGCAACGACTTTAAAAACAAGCAAGAGTCTGAATCTCGTGATCAAATCCTTGAATGGGTTCGTACGAAGGCCTCTAAATTTGGATTTGGTTTGGTTATCGGAAGGTCCAATAATGGTTCGGATAGAAGATGCATCTTTGTGACAATGGTGTGCGAGAGAAGCGGGAAATATCGAACTCCTTTGTGATTCAAAACCAGAATAATGAGATACAAACAACATTTAATTGGAGCATCACAGTTTTGGAACACAGATTTAAATACAATATTATGTATTCTCCGTTGGTCGGTAATATTTCTCGGGCGGGTTTGAACTATATTTTTCATGAGGCTAAGTGAGTTGATAATGTAGGTTCTAATAGCGCAAAGTGTTGTTGCGCTATTGTAAAAACATATGGTCTCCCATGTGCTTGTACTATTGATAAAAAGGTGAAACTTTGTGAACTAATAAGAATGGATGGGGTTTTCTCTCATTGGAAAAGACTTAGGTTCGATGATGATGGATGCATGAATGACAGGAAAACGATTATCTCTATTTTGACCGAATAGGAAATGATACAAGAGAGATTTTCGAAGGCCGGTGACAACATGAAATTTCACATCAAAGAACAATTGAGGAAGATTGCATATCCCGATAGTACCAACATGAAACCGTCTCCTTAATTGGTAAAAACAAAAGGTGCTCCGAAGAAAATGAAGCATACACTGAATGACAACTCTATTCAACGATATCCTTCATATTTTGACCATGTTGACAGTTTTCCCCGACTCACTAACTCTAAAATCTCAAAAAAAGTGTTGTGAAAGGAGCCCGTATTAGCAAACTACCTCCGACACCGCTTCCACCGAAGATTCCATTCATTGACGAGATGTCGGTTTTTACGCACAAATATATCGAGCAGATTGTCAATGTTGTGGGTGACGGTAATTGCGGTTACCAAGTCATTTCAGATTTACTCGGTAAAGGAGAAGATAGTCATGCATTTGTCCGACATCAACTTATCCAAAATTTGAAGAAGAATAAAGAATCGTACACGCGGTTGTACGAAAAAAAAAATCAATGTGGTTTATGAATCTCTTGTTCCTTACTTGAGCGGTCCGACACCGGAGTCAAAATGAATGATTTTCTCGAAAATGAGTCACCTAATAGCATGTTGCATATGATAGACTGTGTATTGACCTGACACGCTATAGTTTTTCGAAAACCTTTTCTTCATTGCGCACCGCTCCATCCCAAAATCCAAATGATTGATTCATGTGTATTGGATGGCTTTCAAAATCAAGTCATTTTGTTCAAGTTTACTTGAAACCGAGATGCCTTATACCACTCACATCACCAGAATGGACAGTTCATTCAACCGCAAAAGTCGAGACGTTGTCGAATCATTTTATGAAAATAATGCAAGAATTTGAGAGATTGAACAACATTGAAAAAGAATCGAATGCACAAAAGTCCAAAGGGACACCACCTATAGATTTAGCCGGCGACACATGTTTCGATTCATTTTAATTTCTTGTTTAACCGGACAAATAATTGTATGTAATTATATCTCTATATAAATGAAGTGTTGTTATATATTAACCTTTTGTTCATATTTTGTCTTTATGTATTTTTTATCTACCCCATAACAACATGTGTGTTTTTGTTGAATGGAAAAAAATAGGGGTTCAAGAGAAGTTCCGGAGATGCATCTCCAGAACAAGATAATAGGGTGCCTTTTCGGCCTGAATCAATGCGTCAGTTGATGAGTGGTCCAAATTGATATTTGTCTTCTATAAACTTAGATGCTCTAGATCTATATTTCATACAACCTTAAAATGTCTCAAATGTCACAAATAAAAATCGATTGGTATGTCGCTGATGTGTCCTTCTCCGACTCTACACCTGGGCGAACAATTAAGCTCAACGACTTCACACCCCTCGAAGATATCAAAGACGAAATTCACAATCCCATACCTTACAGAGACAATCAAAAGATTGTGAAGTTCGAGTACCGTTCAAATTCAATTGACAATAGAGGGAATTCAGTTCACCAAGCTTGAGCTCAAGACGCAAGCAAATATTAGGGCTATGTGGTATACGTTTTTCGGTTTCGATGAGAAAGTTTCGCTCGAGTTGAAAGTAACGATACAAATATTGGTTGAAGATATCTTGAAGATGTGCAAGCGTCCATCAGGATATTGAATTTTATGTTGAAATCATCATTGTAATGATCATTTTATGTTATGAATGTAAATTTTATTTTGGATCTGCGGATTCTATTTCTGGTGTGAATCCGGAGATATAAGTACAAAATTATTTCGAAAATACATCTCCGGAATAAATTGAACCAAAACAAAGGGTGTAACTTGAAATGACCTTTATTGAGTGGGTGTTGGGTGCGTCCGGAGATGTATCTCCGAAAACAGTGAACATATTTAGAATTTCACGTTGTGTATTAGAACCATATATGGTGTTTTAAGAAATTACTAATATTTTTGAAAAGAACTATGTTCATAACAATTTTCTTCTCTTCAACACTTAAAATTAACATTTAAACGGCGGACAATAAAATAATTTTCTAACTTGTGATCCAAACATTAAAAATAAGATAATATCTCTGTTTCTTTTTATAAGAGACAATTCACTTTTTAGGTTCATTAAATAATCAATGTATCTATTCTATAAATTCATTAAATACATTAATTATTCAATAAATCTAAAAAATAAATTGTCTCTATATATAAAAACAAAGATAATAGTATTTATGCAATGAACATTTAAATTTTCTTATTCTAGTATTATAATGTTGCAACTTTTTATTTCTTTTTTTATACTGACAATCTTTTTCACAATCCTACGCTATAAAATTTCTTTTATAAGAATTCGAATCAGACCTCTCGAAAGCTATAAAATGAAAAACTAACTTAGCAGTTCCAACACAGAAATGGATTGGCTAACTTTACTGCAGTGGTGCCTTTACTGTAGTATAGCCTTTGGGGTGATTCCTATCAACAAACATTGGATGATGATTCAAAAATAAAAATCTCATCATGTAGATCAAGAACACTAGTGTCAAATCTTTAAAGGCATTATTCTTAATTGTAAGGAGAGATACATCAAAAGTTCCACCACCAAGGTCAAAGATGAAAATCTTTCTCTCTTCAACACAATTAGCTCTCTTTTGAAGGCCATATGCAAGCGCAGCAGCAGTAGGTTCATTGATTATCCGCATTACATTGAGGCCAGCAATGACACCAGCATCTTTGGTGGCTCTTCGCTGTGAATCATTGAAATAAGCAGGTACAGTAATCACTGCATTTTTAACAGATGACTCCAAAAATACCTCTGCAATCTCCCGCATCTTAGAGAGAACCATAGATGATATTTCTTCAGCCAAAAAATGCTTCTCTTCTCCCTTGCTCGTCACAACAATCACGGGTTTATCATTAGCATCAGCTTTTACCTTGAATGGCCACAATTGTATGTCATTTTGAATAACAGAATCACTATATTTTCTTCCGATCAATCTCTTAGCATCTATAAAAAATAATGCTGATGTTTAATTTATGGTCTAATATAAAAAAAACAATAATAATAATAATAATAATAGCAAATATGTTTAACCCTAATATTGAGAGGACGAGAAAAAAGAACGTGAAAAATATACTAAACCCTAATAACGAAAAAGTAAACAATACCGGAGTAGAATGATAAAAGAGTTACCAAAGACAGTGTTGGTTGGGTTGGAAGAAGCTTGATTCTTAGCAGCATCACCGATCAATCTTTGAGAATTAGTGAAAGCAACACAAGAAGGTGTGGTTCTGTTTCCTTGATCATTGTGAATGATTTCAACGCGATCGTTTTGTTGTTGCCACACTCCAACACATGAGTAAGTCGTGCCTAGGTCAATTCCTATAGAAACTCCCTCGTACTTTTTTGCCATTCTCTTTCAACCGAATGAATGAAACTGTCTAGAAAAGATTTAAATTCAAAATTAGGAAGAAAATTGTTCTGGGATATGAAAAGTATTTTGATTTCCTAAAATGAATTTATTTGTGCACATTTCATGTTGTCTATAGAATTTTTTTTAATGTAACTAGGTTTTTCTAGATAAATTAAAGTTTTAAAAAATTGACGAAAGTAGTCAAGTTTCAACCTTGTGTCGCCGGTTGGTTTGACGACTCAGGCAAAACTTTCATGTATGTAGTATGAATTGGCAACTTCATGTATAGGGGATGGACTGGGTCGCCAATTGGTTTGACTACCTGACTCAAATATCTTTTTTTTTCTCTATTAGGGTTTACGAATTTAATTTAGTTTAAATAATAAAAAAAATAATTAAATTAAATTTAAGTTATTAAAAATATTTATATAAATTGAATATGTATAATTAAAATATTTATACAAATTAATACATTTTAATTAAAATATTTTGTTATACATTTTATAAATTAATAAGTATAGTTTAATAATATAAATAAACTTAAATTGATTTAGGTTTAATTAAATTTAAAATAATAAATGTAATTGTAATATAATTTAAAAATACATTTTAAATATATTAGTGATTTAAAATAAAAATTGATTTAAATTGATTTAAATAATAAATATTATTTTTAAATTATAAATATGTTGAAAATTTTAAATTTTAAATGAATTTAAATAAAAAATAAAAATGGATTTATATATAATTTTTAAACACAATAAATATAAACAGGTTTAAATTTTAAAACATAATAAATATTTATAATTAACCATTGAATTTTAAAGTATATAAATTTCGTAAGGGTATTTAAGACATATCATATGAGACAAGTAGTATTTTATTTTTTTATAAATACGACGACAAACACATATATGTTTCCACAACATTGTATACTAAAAGACTGAAGTGTTAACAATTTTGAGTCGCCAAGAGGTCTAGAATGTCTGCATTTCTAAATCAACGTTCTTCGTCGTCATCATCAACATCGGAGGAACCCTTTCCGATATTTGATCTAATGAAAATAAATGCGCTAGTTTTTCTTCCAACAACAAAGCCTCCGATGAAGGTGCTCCTGTGGAATACGCAGACGTTCTAGAAGGAGATATTTCTTCAGGAGAAAAGATTAGGAAAATTGAGAGGTTGATCGAGGAGGTTGGGAGGAAAATTGAGAGGTTGGTCGAGGAGGTTGGGAGAAACGGAGTTACTTGTGAATGGAGTAAAGTGGAAAATGATGTTGGTGTCCTTGTGATGATGTTAACACCAAAGAAGATAACATTGATGGTCGTGATATCGTAGACGCCTTGGTGCATTATTCTGTTTTATGTCTTTATGCTGTTGTTATTTTTGGAATGTTGTTGTGATATTAAGTTATGTTTGTTTAATTTATGTTGCTTGGTAATTGTAATCGGTTTAGTATGCTTTAAATGGAATAAAATTTGCTATTGATTTAAAGGGACACGGTTACATATGAAACTATGATCTGCTGCTTGATCCTACGTTAGGATATTTGTACGATTTTGCCCGGGTTGCCGACACGAACTACATAATCTTACCATCTTGTCTGCGGTATTCATCTTCGTTTAAATGCGCGTGCTGTTAGGGGGACCCTTTTTCTTTCTGCGCATCAAGTCATTATGCCATACAATTTCGCCTTTGTATTGAGGCCAATAGTCCTCTTTTGCCACCACTTGAAAGCTACATGTGTAGACATTGCATAGACTTATCACTTGGTGAACTGCAGAAAGAAGTTTGGCTGGGTTCTGACGCGTCTTCGAACATGCTGCTATAACATAAGAGCAAGGCATACGGAATGCCTGAAACTTCCCGCAGTCACACCAGCTCCAATTCAGTTCAACACGGTAACATCCCCTAGGCCTTCCTTCGTTGTGATCAATCGACTCGGCAACACTGAACCAACCATTATTACGGTCAAAGATTATGACCACATGTGTGTTGGCTTTGGCAGCTTCGTCTTTCATGAATTTCATTGAAGTATCACTTTACAGCTGACCCGATTGTAATACTGAACCCCACTTCGTACGTCTTCTATCAAAGAGTGCGCCTAGCCTAAAATATGTTGTCTTAACTAAGGTAGTTATCGGTAAGTTTCAGATTCTCTTGAAAACATAATTCATTGATTCAACGAGGTTAGTTGTCATGTGGCCCCATCGCACCCCATTGTCGTATGCCCGTGTCCATTTCTCTCTATCAATGTTATCAATCCATCTTAATGCATCCACGTTTGTTAGCTGATCTCATCACTGTAGTATTTGAATGTGGGTTCTGTTAGTGCATATCCTGCGTTCACAACCTTCTTGCATATCCTGCCAACCGTTATCAAGGTTGTTGTATGCACTCTCGATTGATGGGTGCCGATCAGAGATCAAATATAAGTTAGGTTAGGGAGACACGTAAAAGCGGATATTTTTTAAGAAAAACTCCAACCCCCAGTAGTCTCCCCTTCAACTATAGCGAAGGCTATTGGAAAGATGTTGTTGTTCCCGTCCTGTGTCACAACCATGAGTAGGGTGCCCTTATATTTCCCGTATAACCAAGTGCCGTCAATTTGAATTATAGGTTTACAATATGCAAACCCTTTGATGCATGGTTCAAACATCCAAAAGAGTCTGTGAAAGATTCAATTTCCACCCACGCAAATCCCGTCTGGTGTACACGCAGGCATTGTCTCCAATATGGAAACAGTCCCTGGAGAGTAGTGTTTAAGAGCCACCAGGAATTTTGGAAGTTCCTTGTACGACTCCTCCCAATTTCCAAACACCCTTTCAACCGCTTTAGTCCTAGCAATCCAGGATTTTTGGTATGAATGAGTGTAATTGTACCTTTGCATCATATGTGTAATTAGGGTACTGACCTTCAAATACGGGTTGTCGCTAACGACTGACAGAATCTCATCGCAAATCAATCGAGAGTTGAGTTTGTGATGGTCCTACATCGGATTCGAGATTATACAAGTTTGGGCCGGACCCATTGACCTTATCTTCCAGGAATCGCTTCTCTTCCTGAAAGACGTTGTTAATCGGAACGGACACTCCTCGTTACGACAATAAATCGTATACCGAGTCGGATTTGTCCGATCGACTCTATAATCGGCTGACAACTCCATGTGAAATTGTTTGATTGCCCATACACAATCTTCTTTGGTACGAAACTCGTCACCCTCTTTTAGCTTCCCTTCTGTCGCGTAGTTAGGGTTGTAGAAAATATCCGTTGAGGGTTCATCGCCACCTAAGTCGAGAGTTGTCATGTGCTGAGGTGGGCAATAAACATGGCCGGATGAAACCCCCTCTTCCTCGTTGTTCAACATCTCGTCAATAGTGAATTCAGCTGCTTATTCTTCTTCGCCAATGACATTGACTTCAGCATGTTCCTCGTCAGAATCGCAAAAAACTTGAGAAGAATTAAGTTGTTGAGATAGTTGCTATTGTTGTAACGTAACATGTAACACAATATCAGAGAAACCAGAATACTCGTTGTTGCGGTGAGAATCGTGATACCAAGCTATTGATTAACTTGAATCTTAATTCTTAAATTCACAACCGGACTTTAATTTATCCAAAAAGGAAAGGTTTAAAGAAAGAAAAACCTATAAAAATGCAAAGCAAAAAGCAAGGCTTAAAGCTAAGCAAATAGAGATCTAAAGGTTCGGGGGTTGGTTATGCCTAGGGTAGGTATTTTACATCCTAAAAATTTGTAGTACTCTACAGGAACCTCTTGTTAATATTTGTGTTATTCTAAAGTTTGCTTGCTAAAGGAAAAGTGCTAAGGTAAAGGTTTAAAGTATATACAAAATATGATCGCCAAGACATCGCATCTCGTGCCTACTTATCCTGACGGGAATTGAATCAGAGCAACCGTAACTCTTGACTGTGGTCAAGGTTCCAAGGGGATGTAAGCATTCATAGGGATGTACTTACATGGAGTGCGGCGACTCTTGAATCTATGTTGAGATTGTTATAGTAGAGAATGTCCACGGCGGGACGCTAAACATGAGTACGGCGACTCAGATCCTAAGGTTAGGATAAAGGGTAAAGGTAAAGGATATCCATGGCGGGACAATTACCTGGAGCATGGCGACTCCGATCCTAAGTTGCGAAAGGTAACAGGAAGTTAGTGGTTAGTGAGCTCGCCAAGATATCGCATCTTGTGCCTACGTATTCTCGACGAGAAATCAGAGTGTTCGTAGTTCCCCTCAATAGGGTGAGAAACTCTTGACTGTGGTCAAGGTTCCAAAGAGAAAGTAAATGTCTGCGGTGAGACACCTACATAGAGTGCGGCAACTCTAAACCTAATTTCTATTATATAATTAGATATTAAGCAAATAAAACAAATAATAAAATAAAGTAAACTAAAAAGATTCAAATAAATAAATATAATTTTTTTTTACAAAACAAAAACAACAATATTATTTTCAAAGTAATAAGATGGCATAATGGACTTCTAAACATGTATATGTTTATTAAACATAAGGTATATATAATAATATGTAATCATAAAACTTAGAAACTAAAATGTAAAGTATATACTGTATGACTATAAAATCTAGAAAATAAGAAAATGTACAATATATTAACATGCATATATAACTAATGACAAAATCTTATATTTATAAGACTCAACCAAAACTAACAGCATATGTACATAAGAATCTAGACCAAAAAACATATTCACGAAAACTAATGATATTTATATATAAACTCCAAAATAAGCTAAGATAAATATGTGTATAGAAATTAAAATCAACAGTATGCCACACAATCTTCTAACTTCGCCGTATCAAAAAAAAGAGAGGAAACCAAAGTAATTGAGAAGGTACCAAGGTCAGAAATAGGGCAATACGACCCGTTACCGTCATCAACGTCGCACATACAAGCTCATCAATCCGTCATCGCATCCTTCGTCGTGTGATTTCGTCTGCACTTTCCAAACATGCTTCAGAA